GTTGAAGTAAATGGTAGGATTTGTCCTCACTTAGAAGTTGCATGAACTTTTAGATGGAAATATCCTTAGCTAAATGAGTAGCAGCACATCTTTACGCATTAAAAGTTTACATACTCACACCCACCTCATTTCTTTTTCCTCCCAAGCAGGAGTAYGCTATACCAGAACAAGGATTTCTATTCAGTGATGCAAGTACTCTAAAAGCCTTCATCACGTTTACAAGGAAATCAACATCATCCTTCAGCATAATYATGTTCTGAGTAAGGTACAATGCAAAAAAAGATGTGGGAACACAAAGGTTTCCTCAAGAAAAACAGTCCCTACTTTTTATGTTTGTATTCATGTCACATTTGAAATCTCTCCTCCACTGAAGTGGCTGCAYATGTCTGACACACATTCTGCAATTGCTTTATTGAGAATCAGAGGGACTGAAAACTCATACTTCTTTGACACAGACATACAGAAAAAAAAACAAACACTGAGGTAATCAAACTCAAAAAAGGTTAAACAGAAATTCTGAAAATTCTTTTTATACCTGCCACCTTGCTTACTTAATTTACAGACAATTACAGTTGAACTGCATCTAAGTTACATACAAGTAACTTTGGATGAACACCACAGCTGTCATGATACCCTGGAACAACTTCAGCACACTACACCAGCAGTTGTAATGCAATTTGTGTAACACCCCCCTCTTTCCTTAGCTTYAAATTCTTCATTTCCAATTTATTTTGCACTTCCAATTCAGATAAAGTCTGAATAGTATACATACATCATCAAGGACGGGAATAAGCTGCTCAATGGACAATCAGTTCTGGCTAGTTCAAAGAACAGTTTAAAAGATTCAAGCAAATGTAAATATTAAAAGAAGATGCACTGACAAAGCATTTCCTTACTGTCATTGCAACTACAGAGACATGTCTCATGCCACCAGAAGAGTACAGGGCATAGTTAAGAAATACCACAAAACAGTTATGCAAGGCTACATAGTGGATCACATCTGCATCTGGTCTAAAGACAGACACGATTTATTCTGAATTATTTCCAAATATTTGGAACGAGCCTGCCTTACTTAAGCTGCATRCCCCAGAGTGCATTTTCCCTCAAAACATTTGTGCAGATGGGATGACTAAAGTCCATTTTTCTGCACTGGGATATTGTAATGATAGAAGTCACACACGAGAATTGTTGTCAACAGTAAAGGGATGTCAGCAATACCACAAATTACGGCTGCACTGCATCACAATAGTTTGTTTTAAGACAAAGATATCATTCAAGCAACTTGATGCAACTATCTTAACCATTTTTGTATCTTCCTTTCAGTTASTAAGGAGTTCCTAAGATGGATGGAACAGCCACCCTTGGTAGTTATCCATATTGCAGTGCAAGGCACATTACTCAAGGCAAAGCCTTTTTCAGCTGTGTAAACAAGAACTCCCTTTTAAACTTTAAAATGTTTCTAAAAGCCTTTCAGTAGAGATTCAGTAAGAGCACATTTCCATTCTCAGTTTGGACTTAAGCAATTCTGTACCTCTGATTCACTGGTAAAGGCCAGACTCATTCAACCACATATGTTGAATCACAAGAGACAAAGATTTTATTTTTAAGTATGCTTGTATGCTCTCAAGCATCTGATGAAGGTGTGGGATTTTGTCTTATGTTGCTACACACACTAAACAAACACCAAAAGGCTATTCTTTAATAATACTTCAATGTAATTTCTTCAAAAGGTTGCAACAACCTTTCCAGTAATCAACAGGTATCAAGTACTTACTTTTAATTTAAAATAAAGTCCTAAGTATTTTAAGAGTTATCAGCTCCCTTTGTTTCTTYCTCATTTTCTTAAACATATACTAGAAATGCAAGACTAATCGAACTCAAATTCACATCATTATTCAATCTTCATTCTTCAGCTAAGTTTGGTCTTTCGTAGTTCCATATAATTTGGAAAAATATTTCTCTACATTAGCTCTACATTAATTGCAAGTTTATTATAAAGTTAGTAACCACTACTACAGAATATGCCTAATAATCTTCCAAATTCCTATTAAGTTGGTAGTGAATCAGCCAGGCATACCTTATTATAGTAACAGCTCAACAGGTTAATGAATAACAGCAGCAGGTAGCAGAAGAATAATGGAAATCAGGGAAGATGAAAGGAGTACACAAGACTTATACTTAATCTAGTTTTACACTGATAACATAAAAAATCATTTTTCTAGTAACAAGCAACCGGGAGGTTTTTGCCAGAATGTCAGTAAGCTCACTCCACAGATCAAATAACAGTACATCCAAGCCCACACTAAAATTGACTCATGTGGAAAGTCTCACCCATACATACAGAAGTGTTTGGTAAAGCTTGCCTCAAAGAAGTTCTGTGAGCTAAACTGTGTAATTAGAATTCAGAGACGAGATACACTGGCTTATCAGTAAGGTTACATGGTGGAAGCAGAAATTTATATTTAAAAAAACACTAAAATGAGGGGAAGTACTTACAAAGTATGGAACTCATWGAGATTAGTAACATGCAGAGATGAAAAAGCACAAAAGCTTACAAGGAAAGCAAGTGCACCTGCTGGGAATCTTAATGGGAAGAGAAAGCACAGAGTCTAAGCTCTGGATATCAGCATCAAAGATGAAGGGACTTGACACTGCAGACAAATACTTTCACACATTAGGTATTCTTATTTTTAAGAATGTAGAAGTATTCTTCAAGCTAACAGGCCAACATGAAACTATAGGTCAACTCAGGGAGCACATGGAATGGAAGAAGAAAACTAGCAATAAAATGGAATAACCAGTCCATGGCACAGCCAGTGAAATACACTACCAGTTCTCATTCTGCTGCGTCTAACCCACTACAGAAGCCCACGATTATCTAAATCTACACAACACACACAAGATACATTACTTACCTTCATGTCCATCCTCCAAAGGTTGATGATAAACCAGACAAAAGACTAACACCACTCGTGGAACCTGCCTTCAGTCTTGCTCTTGCACATCCGAGTGACATATTATGTAACTTGGCATCAATAAAGGAACACAAAAAGCAATCAACCACCCAAGTAGGAACCAGTTGTGTAAGTCCACATATACTCATGAACTGAAYGACAAGTTTCACATCTAAATCCCTTACAAACCCTTGTGCCTGCATGATCTGAAGTAAAGAAAATCCACCAGTCAGAGGATGATCCTCATTGGTACAGTTCAAGAATTAAAGACAGAATGAGGAAAAAAAAAGCAGATCTGCAAATCTGCTACCTTTTCTTCTTTAGTTACTCCGATTTAGTTCCAGGACTTGCAAAGATCCTTCTGTTCACTTCTCCCATGAGAAACACAAGTTACGAATGCAAACATTACAGAACAGCTGACCCATACTACGTAAAATTCCGGAAGCACAGAGCACTTCTTATGGTATGCAGCTCATTCCAGAACACGACCAGAACTGGAAGGAAAAGTAACTATTGCTTTCTTAATTCCTAATCTTCAGTGAACATATACATTTTCTAGCCAGACAGGCAGCAAAACAAGCTCTAAGCAACCTCTGATTTTAAGAAATTAATCAGCTAAATAAGTAAAAAAAAACAAAAGAAACAAAAAAACCCAACAAAATAAAAAAAAAACAAAAAACAAAAAACAAAACCAACCCCCAACAGTACAAGGAAATAGAAACCTACAAAGCTTTAGCTGTTTATCATCAGTTTCACAAGCAAATATAAGAGTTGCCATCCAAAAGGACTCAGCATCTAAATTTTCTTTGGTCATCTCATAAAGCTTCTTAATATTTTGGTCAGTCTAGGGGAAGGTGGGCTGCTGGAGAAGACCTCTTCAGACTTACAGCTCATGACTGGAAGTTCTTGAGTACTACAAAATACAGGTGGGCAGGGGTGAGAGTATGTATGAGTTCCCYGCTTCCTTCCTGAAACTATTAAATTCCACAGTGGAAGTAACCCAGTACTTGTCAGCCTAGCTGAATCCACAACAATTAAATTTTTGATGCTAACATAGAGTAAACCAGACTTCTGTCATATTCAAACCATACTGCAGGTCCTAGGCCTGACTGTGAAGGTACACGTACTATTCTTGTCTTCCTTCCCTGCCCTCATAAGAATATGCACAAAGATGAAGCAAAACTGAAAGGCAACAAGCGTGGTTGCAGAGCACATCACTTGCTCATGCAGTCTCTGAAACTCTCTCCAGAGAGTCTGTCTCTTCTAGAGCCCTAGACGAGTACTCTCTTCTAGAACTCTACTCATGCTACTTTGGACTCCACTTTTATCACAAAACTTAAGAGAGTATCTCACAAACCTGACTACCCAAAATGTAGGGCCTCATCCAAATACCTAATGGAGAGACACTGCCCCTATATTCTGTGAATTAAGTCAAGGCAAATCAAAGCACCAAAAGCAGTCATCACCCACCGGTTGGTTACAAGAGAGCTTCTGCACAAAGAGGTATCAGTGACCACTTGYCACTTTATCAGTGACAATCAAGGCACACATAACCTAGAAATCCCCAGTCTAGGTCATTAACTCTAGGTTGCACAGGATTTCCAACAGAGCCTCTTACAGAAATCAATGTCTTCCAGTCCAGGCCATGGAAGCCTCAATTTAACTTCACCCTGCCCTTCACATGACCAGCTCCTCATGTGCCCCAAGAGCGACACAAGGCRTAACCGCTCATGCAATGCGGCACAGAGCATCAGCTGCTTGCCCCAAATTCACTCTGCAGAACTTGGCGCTGCCTTTGGGCAGAGGTCACCTGTGTCCCAGGAGCACAGCACGCTGCTGCAGGACAGACCCAGAGGGGTACACTGGTTACTGCCACCAGCAGCCCTCAGCAGAAGCCCTCCCACAGCAGCCTTCGCACCGGGCAGCACTCACCGCCSGGACATCCACCCAACATTTTGGGAACAGCTGCCCATTGCAGCCAGAGCATCCCCCTCTCGGCACTGCTTCCCCGTCGGGACCAGGGCGGTGGGAAAGGCGGCCTCTCACCTGGAGGAGCACGGCCAGCAGGACGCACAGGTACACCTGGTAAGGGCCCATCTGCCCCACCAGCGGGAACGCCTCCTCCACCTCCATCCCGCTCCCCGCCCGCCGCGCAGCTCCTACGAGCGGCCGCCGAGCAGCGCATCCCCGGGGCGGGGCGGGGCGCGGAGCGGCGGCCAGGCCCTCGCGGAGCCGGAGCAGAAGGAGAGGGAGGAGAAGGAGGAGGGAAGGGCGGGAGGCGCGATGCGGTGCTCATGCGCAGGTTCCGGGGAGAGCAGCCGGGATGCGGCCGCCTTCCTCCTTCCCGGGCGGCCGCTGGGGAAGCGGAAACGCACCCAGGCTCAGCGCACGCGCACGGCACGGGAGCAGGCGGTTTGGGCTGGGGGCGTGTGAGGGGCTGGGGGCGTGTGAGGGGCTGGGGGCGTGTGAGGGGCTCGGTGAGGGCTGGGTGAGGGGCTGGGTGAGGGTCGAGAGGCTGGGTGAGGACTAGGTCAGGGGCTCGGTGAGGGGCTGGGTGAGGGGCTCGGTGAGGGCTGGATGAGGGCTGGGTGAGGGATGGGTGAGGGGCTGGGCGAGGGGCTGGGGGCGTGTGAGGGGCTGGGTGAGGGATGGGTGAGGGGCTGGGTGAGGGGATCAGTGAGGGGCTCGGTGATGGCTGGGTGAAGGGTTGGATGAGGGGCTCGGTGAGGGGCTCGGTGAGGGTCTGGGTAAAGGGCTCGGTGAAGGGCTCGGTGAAGGGCTCGGTGAGGGCTGGGTGAGGGGCTCGGCGAGAGCGTTATCGGGGTGACAGTGCCAAGCGCTTGGGACCGGCTTCCTTACTGTGAGCGGGCTCGGGACTGGGAGGTGGCTGCGAGGTGCAGGGGGTGCTGTGCCTCCTGAGATCACACCTGGTCACAGCTGCTTGGAAGGGGAAAAGGCAGAGAGGTGTTGCCCCTGGACCCTTGGTTGGACCAAGGCAGCATGCTGGCCCTGCGGGCTGGGCAAGAAGGCTGTGCTGGTTCTGTGCTGGCGAGGTGTTCTGGGTTTTATAACATTCTCCATGCAGCATCTTGGAGCTCATGGTCCAGTTTAATCCTTCGAGTGCAGTGGAGTTACAGTGTGCATTCAGCGGGTTTGGCATTGTACTGAACAGGGTTAGCCCTCTGTCTGGGAAGCCGTACCCACATAGTGCATACTGCTTAAGTTCCATCAGTTCACAGAGGATCCCAGAATGCTGGCACRCATCATCATTTTTATTCCTTCTGCCCAGGAATATTCTGTAGTGATACTTCATAGCCTATGTGTCAATACTTGAAGGGAAAAAAGAGAAAGAAGCCAAATCTGGCATGAGGCTATTGTGTAGGTGCTACTAGAGGTCAGTTTTGGACCTACACAAATCTTACTATTCTTGATTTAATTTCTGGTGTGGACATGCCTCTCTCCATGACACCAGTCTCCACAAAACTGTAGTTGTAATGTATTTTATAAAAAGAATTTGGAGAGTCCTGATTGGGAATATGGGGTACAAGTTCTCACTTAATSGGGCTGGTTTGGGAAGGGGCATGAGCTCTGCTGCTTAGAGAAGGAAGGGGAGATAAATACATGTGAAATAGTAATCTTGAAAAATGGCGATGAGCTTTTCATCRTCTGTTTTCATTCCACCTTTACAATAAAGCACCAGGAACATGAAACAAAGATCGTTGAGACTTCTTTTACCTAGTGGTACCAAGAAGCAGCAGCAGCAACATCTTTATGCTCACAGCTTTTTATTGTATGGACAATAGAAAGGAAGAGAGTTGTCGTGAGCTGTGACCTTTAGGACCATGCCAGGAGCCTGGGAAATAATACCATTTCCTTGCTGAAAAAGTCTTGGCAAAYTGACAATCATCAAAGCAATTTACTCTTAAAATGAAATTCACCTTTGCCCTAAGCACTTCTTTTCATATTTGAGGCTTAGTACAGATTGATTAAACACAAAACAGCAAAGGATTTCTGAAATGTCAGGACCTTTCTGCTRTTCATCCAACCACATTTGTCTGATTTTATTGCTCAGCTGTGGAGGAGATGTCCTAGTATTTGGGAACTCTGTATTCATGTCCCCTGCATCCTTCACATTCTCCAGGCCAGTTCAGCCACACTCTATGGCAACCCTAGGTTCATTCCAGCTTGCCCAGCAATAGGGAGGGCTGTTGCTTTTGCCATCAACACCCAGCCCCCCTTGACACTTGAGCAAAGGTGAACAGAGCTTAGCAAAGGAGATGGTGCTTGGCTCCCTGTCAGGAATGGCTGTGCACTCTGCATTCCCAGGCACTTTTCATCTCTGTCTCACTTGGGACCTCCAGCACTCCTGCCTGGGGAGTTTCCTGCTTATATTTGCTATCTCCTTACAGCCACCCAAGCTCTGGGTTCTGCCTGCTATATGGGCAGCAATTAAGAACTGTCATCTTTCTGTATTCACCTCCACAGAGTGCTGCCTTCCAGACAATGCTTCTGCTCTGCTCCTGCATGGCTCTGCTGAGATAACACCTCTGGCTCCTGCAGCTTCCAGTCCTGACCACAGTGAAGTTACTRGGTTGGCTTTAGGCACATCAATGCCATGCAACAATGCCCTGTCCCTGGGGAAAACAGCTGTTGAGGAGCAGTCTCCTCTTATGCTGCTGCTTCCCAAAATGAGTCCAGCAGAGAACCATGAAGGTGATGTTCCAGTCAYGCTCCRWGACTGGAGCATCTGTCATRTGAGGAAAGGCTAAGAGCTGGGAGTGAAGTTCTCCAGTGAAGAACTTCATAATGTGTGTACATAACCTGATGGAAAGGAATGAAGAGGAGGAGCCTGGCCCTTCTCAGTGCTGCTTTGCATCAGGGCAAGAGGCAATGGGAAAAAAACTCACTGGCAATGAAAGGTGTCTGTCCCATGAGGCCCGTGGTTTTGGAGAGAATTGGGTGCAATGCTTAGAGGTTTCAGTTGACACAGCAATAGCACTGCACTCCACTTGGACAATGATCTGTCCTCACTGGAGCCCTCAAATCTTCCCCGAGTATTATTGTCTGTGAAGTTCATTAATGTCCAATTTCYTCCCTCCTCCTCCACATTAATAATCATGTAAAATAAGAATACTCTTAACAATCCTGTCTGAGGGGAATTTTTATTTTAATGAGAGCAAACCAGGATTCTCACTCAGCCATAAATACAGTGCCCCCTAGGTTTTTCCATATYGCTCCCAACCCCTTCTGTTACTACTGTTTCATGGGTTTGTTGCCATTAGAGGCTTACACATCAAATTCATSTGGGCATCCCAAAACTGAGACAGCTGCATGGCTTCTTTTTCAGCCTTTCTGAGTTAATAGTTCCAGGTATGTTCAGCCCTTTTCCATCTGTATGTAAYGATGACCCACAGCATTCAAAGTATCAGATACATGTAAATGCCAAGGGATAACCCTAAGCTATGTTTCTCTCGGGGGAAAAAAAAAAAAAAAGATTAATTAAATATCTTAGAGCTRAAAACTCATTCTGGTTCATTGACATTGTGTTTCCAGATTTGCTATATTCATTTGTGGTATATTCCAACAACAGCCTTTAATTTTGCTTTGGAGACGAATTCAATAGTAGTTTGAAAAAAGGTCTTTTAAAAGGTCTTCTGATGTTCCCGCCTTCTAACTGGGGACTTTTTACCCATTCAAAAGGTAGCCACAGAAGTTGTTGATTCAGCAGTTAGCACAGCTGAGATCTAAAGAAGTTCTGCTCCTGATGTAGGAAGTTTCAGGTCATCCATGAGTGGAAATTTTGACGGATATGAAACTCTGTAGCCCAGGCTGCTGTGGATGACAGAAGGTAAGTGGGTTCAAGTGAAGGACCAACAAGTGCAAGATTCCTCTGAGGTTTAGCTAATGCAAAGAGGAAACACCTCTAACTCTGCAAAGTCCCCAGGAGACAAATAKTTCAAAGCTGGTATCTGAAGGAAATACTTATCCTCTCTTGTGTTGTGAAACTGTAGGCATCAACATATGGCTGCAGCAAAAGATGACATTTTGGCCAGAAAGGACATTTGCTGTCCTGTTGCTCAGCCACTTCTCCATCCCTCTCCCTCACAGGAGGTTTCCACCACATCAGCTGAGCTAAATGCTGAATGGCAAATGACTGACTGAGCTCTGACAGTGAGGATGGCAGCTGTGGGATGAGTGGTGGAAATCTCTTCCACAAAAATGTAAAAGGGTTATGGTTCATAAAACCTGTTAGTATTAAACAAGCCAAGGGCTAAGAGGGTCCCTCCTTTAGGATGAAAATACAGCAGAGGTTCTCTTGATCTTTTAACTTCTTCTGGTCCACAGCAAGATGACAGGAGCAGTCAGAGGGTTGRCAGTGTCTGCCAGAATGCTTGCCTTTGCTGGCCCCCTATTACAGAAAATGAAGATTTTTTTTTTCCCGACCAGACTAATCAGCTGCACGTTGCAGCTGGCTTACCCCATAATACTATGCAAAGCTAGCATATGGCTCATTACAATATACCCTGACTAAGTGTGCAGCCAAACAATCCACCAAGGCATTTTTGCTTCTCTGATGTGTTGTTTGCACTTTTTGCAAACAAAGCAACAAACAATTCCTTTGGAGGCACTTTTCAATTTTAGATGAGGCTTGGGGATACTGAATTTCTTTCTGAACTGTGAATGATGTTAAAAGCTGATTCCCTATTCCTTCCTAGATGGACAGTTGTCTGTTGCAAAACAGATCCAGTTCAGGTTCCCAAGAAATCTGAGCTTGCTCACATATCATGTATCTCTGACAATGTCYGTTCTCTCAGGATGTCTCTCCCCTGGTCACATCCCAAAGTGCACATCTGTGACCAACACTTTCTTGGCCAACAGCCTCTGTAACTCTCAATTCTGCTCTGTTTCCCATCACTTAGACATTGCCTGCAGTGTCCATCCTAGGGTGGGAGCTCTGGTTTCATCACAAACACTGTCAGGGGTTTCAGGCTGAGCAAAGGAGTTTATCAAGCACACCTTTGTGCTTAAGCATACTAAAATCTTAGACATTAAAAAAAAAAAAAAAAAAAAAAAAAGAAAGAAAAACCAGTGTTGTCCTAAGAAGCAGAATTGGCCTCTGTAGCCTTCCAGCAGTGACTGGGACATAAAGGTGAATGCTTATACCTCAAAATGGCTCTCTTGAATTGTTGTGCCACACTGCCTCTGAGAGAACCATGTGTTCTTTTTAGGGTCTTTTCTTTCCAAGCAATCATCATTTGACTGCAGTAGTGCTCATTATCTTGACATTTGTACTATTCCTTCTCTGCCATATCACCCGCATGCATAAGACTTGTTTGGACCTCGTCTCTAGCTCTGGAGAATGATGA